TTTTTGAAACAATTGACACGTTTCTTTCTAGTTTGTAAAAAGCATTCGCTTTTTTTCTGTAGACCTTATCCCCTTGAAACTTGAAAGCTTTTATTGAAATAAAGCTATACCAAGGAGACCAAGAAGGAAAATTAAGAAACTAATTCAATCTGAAAAAAAAATGACGCGATCTCTGGAAGATGATGAAATAGTTGCAAATCATACTGTTGGAAATGATATCCAACCTACTTGCAAATAGATTTTGCACTGTACAACTGAGAAAAATAAAAAAAAAAACAGTCCAAAGAAAGAAAGTAAAACGGAACCGATCAACACAGCACACTTGATAAACGCGTAACATAACCACAATGAAAGAATAATCACAAAATAAGAAACACAGACACACACATACACAGACGCACATTAACGCGACACACGAACACATTTACGTACAGTCGCACACATACCAACAGAAAAAAAAATTACCGAACGAACGCAAACGCATTGAATGCCATATTGAATTATTACCAAGAGCAATGGTTCGAAGTTAATATTACCGTTTTACCATTTAATAATATTCCTTAATCTATGCAACTTACCGTAATAGTGTGGATATTAAATTTCCATTGAGTTGCAATTGTTGTTGTAGTTGTCTTTGTTGTTGTTGCATCAAACAGCGTCCGCTGCAATGCTCACTTTGGCGAGGTTCACACTTCTGAAGTCGGAACTCGAATGACGGCAATTGGCAAGCGATATGTGTTTCGTTGTGCCTGGCATGGTTGGAAAACAAATAGGTTGCTTAGTTTGAACGTGTGACGTCACAACTAACAGACAAAATAATATATATATCTGTGTTGATACTAGTCTTATATTGAGTTTTAAATGTTTTATTCTATAATATTATGCATACCGAAATGATTTGTATACCGAAATTGTACGAAGCAACATTAAACAAACGCAAATACGCAAAAGTGTGCAGTGTGGCAACGCCGCAACCTTCACACAGCTGCCGCATACCAATAACATAAACGTATACATACACGCACTAACACTCAAGCACGCCGCAGAAAGCAGACGCAAGCAAGTGACGCGATTCGCCGGCCTTTAACGAATTCGCCGCAGCCAGCGCTTGTTATTTGTTATTGCTCCTGCTATTGCTGCTTCCTTTTTGTTGCCAGTCGTTGTCTGCGCTTTAAACAGACCCAATCGTCTGTTGTTGCCAAGCGCTGCAGACACACCCATGCACACATGCACATGCATGTGTGAGTCTTTCTCTGGGTGTGTGTGTGTGTGTGTATATATATATACATGCATATATTGAATTGCTGTTCCAGCCATGGCAACATCTGCATGGTGGAGGATCTGAAGGGTCGATGGTCAGTCATGAGAGCTCTGGTTATCCATAAAGTAAGTCAACCTTATCTCGCACTCAAGCGCACTCGGGGTAGGTATGTATGTACTCTGTTTATCTTTGTTTATATTAACCGCTTACGAAGCTGGACACATGATACTTGGAGTATACAAACATATACTCATACATATATTCGAATCACACAGAGATTTTGTAACTGCGACCGTTTTAATGTGTGATTCACCAAATTATACAAATAGACTGCTCTCGAGCTTCTCTGAAGATCCAAAATTGGGGTTTTCTTCCGTTTTGGCTGACAGAATGGAGTTCCATTGTAAACACAATCTTAACAGTCGATAGTATCCCGACTGCTCTAACTAGTTCTAGTGCGAAATCGAAACTTTTTCGATGATTTTTTTTTAATATCTCGGGTAATAGCTCTGCGCGGAGATATGATGTTCCAAAACGACAGAACTTCGCGGGGAGATATAACGTTTCGAAACGACATAACTCCTTCCAAATCATCACGTTTTTTTCCAAAATCGATGTCGGTGCGAAAATCTACACTTTTCTGATGATTTTTTTTTAATATCTCGGGTAAATAATGTCTGATTTTAAAATGTTATACCTTTTTGAATGCGTACGGATCCCTACCATCCATTGGCATTCAAACAAATTAATCATCGAAGGGTTCAAAAATGTTGTTGACAAAAAACGGATTCGTTCGTAAATTCAACCTTTTTGATGATCTTTGGGAATATTTCCGTCAAATAATGTCCGATTTTGCAATTTCATACCATTTTTTACTCGTAAGGATCAGTTCTATCGATTGACATCAAAAAAAGAAAATCGAAAATTTTGACCCAAATCGACAAAATGGCAAGGGCAATGGCATCATGTTTTTTTTTTTTCAAAATCTCGATCTCGGTAGGTGCGAAAATCGAAACTTTTTAGATGATTATATTTAATATCTCGGGTAATAGCTCCGCGCGGAGATATGACGTTTCAAAACGATATAGCTCCGCGGGGAGATATGACGTTCCAAATCGACATAACTTCACGCGGAGATATGGCGTTCCAAAACGACAGAACTCCGCGGGGAGATATGACGTTCCAAAACGATATAACTCCGCGCGGAGATATCACGTTCCAAATCGACCTAACTCCACGCGGAGTTATGGCGTTCCAAAACGACAGAACTCCGCGGGGAGATATGACGTTTCGAAACGACATAACTCCGCGCGGAGATATGACGTTCCAAAACGACATAACTCCGCGCGGAGATATGATGTTCTAAAACGACATAACTCCGCGCGGAGATATGATGTTCTAAAACGACATAACTCCGCGGGGAGATATGACGTTTCGAAACAACATAACTCCGCGGGGAGATATGACGTTCCAAATCGACATAACTCCACGCGGAGATATGGCGTTCCAAAACGACAGAACTCCGCGGGGAGATATGACGTTCCAAAACGATATAACTCCGCGCGGAGATATCACGTTCCAAATCGACATAACTCCACGCGGAGTTATGGCGTTCCAAAACGACAGAACTCCGCGGGGAGATATGACGTTTCGAAACGACATAACTCCGCGCGGAGATATGATGTTCTAAAACGACATAACTCCGCGCGGAGATATGATGTTCTAAAACGACATAACTTCGCGCGGAGATATGACGTTTCAAAACGACATTTTAAGTCGCGGATTTATGACGGAGATATGACGCTCCAAAACGACATACCTCCGCGCGGAGATATGACGTTCCAAAACGATATAACTCCGCGGGGAGATATGACGTTTCGAAACGACATAACTCCGCGGGGAGATATGACGTTTCAAAACGACATAACTCCTTCCAAATCATCACGTTCTTTTCCAAAATCGATGTCGGTGTGAAAATCGAAACTTTTCTGATGATTTTATTTTAATATCTCGGGTAAATAATGTCCGATTTTAAAATGTTATACCTTTTTGAATGCGTACGGATCCCTACCATCAATTGGCATTTAAACAAATCAATCATCGATGGGTTGAAAAATGTTGTTGACAAAAAACCGATTCGTTCGTAAATTCAACCTTTTTGATGATTTTTTGGAATATTTCCGTCAAATAATGTCCGATTTTGGAATTTTAAACCATTTTTGACTTGTAAGGATCAGTTCTATCGATTGGCATCAAATCCAAAATTTTGACCCAAATCGTCAAAATGGCACATCACGTTTTTTTTTTGCAAAATCGAGGTCGGTGCGAAAGTGCCTGCGCAGATCGAGTTTGTTTCTGATAATCGATAACTTACTCCGTTTCCAACCAATCGATACAAATCGATATCGATATCCTGATTTTTGGGCAATTTTGGTAAATAATAAGAGCTAGATTCCCCAAACTTGACACATAGCTTCTTAAATAGAATATATATGTATATGCATTTGATACTGGAAGAAGAGGGTTCAGGGTATCCCCTAGTCGGGAGCTCCCGACTAGAACCTCTTACTTGTTTTTTTTTAGCATTAACAAAACAGGTTTTATTCGTGATTTTTATATTACATACATATGGATTTCACTAACCAAATTAAGTACAAATGGGAGGATCGCTTGGTACGAGACACAAAAACATGGGTAGCATGGTAAGCTTGGACGCAACCCAAGGTAGGTCTAGAGGGTTGGTCCACAGGGCTTAAGACTAACTGGTCTTTCGCTTAAGACTAAGTCAATTTTTTACAAAAATTCAATAAAAAAAAATCAATTATATTACAAAAGAACAAAAAATAAGTTTAATAATAATAATATTAAAAAAAAAAGAAAGATTTAGAAGCTATCGAGCATGACATACGACTACTTGAGTTGTAAAAATCGATTATATTATTAAAAAACAAAAATTAATTTCTTAATTATAATAATAAAAAAAGAAGCAATTAGCAGCTATCAAGCTTGACATACGACTATTTGCGCTTTTCATATTTTTTTTTTATTTATTTTTTTTTTTTAAGTTTTAAAATGTTCGCAAATGGAAAATTTGTTGGCTGTAATTTATCCAATTTGTATATTCTTTTCTTCAGCTAAGTTTTTAAGTTTAAAAATTTGCTGAATTTCAATTATTTTTGCATTGGAAATTTTGTTATATTTTACAAAATCAAATTCATATTGTTTTCTTCAGTTATGCTTTTGTTGAAGTTTAAAAATTTGCTGAATTTGAATTTGAATTTTTGAAAGAGTTTACTGTCAATGTTCGAAGCTTTAGCTAATCCTAACATATTTATGTATTTCATTTGTGCTGAGAATATCATATTTTTTACAAGGAAAAACAAAAGCACTTGTTAAGTAAAATCAGTTTTGATTTGTTTGTCTGACGAGGTTTTTTTTTTGTTTTGTTTTGGGCTCGTCATAATACTACAGTCTGCTGCTCTCGGCGCCATTGTGACGCGGCTGCGTCGATTGTGACTTCTCGTAGCCGTTGCTGGACATCTGAAGGTGCTGCGGCAGCTGGGCGGGTCGTCCGTTCGAGGGCAGGGTCTCGTCCACACTGAACACCGAGTTGTCATGTCCGTGCATTTGGCGTGCATTCAATACCGCATCCGGATGCGTCTTCTGTGACTCCTGCTCCGTGGCATTCGGCTTGGCCTTGCCCTCGAGCAGGAAACAGGTAATCAGGAACAGTATAGAGCCTGTTGTGGGGTGAAGCAAGTGTACAAATTAACATCGGCTGTGGGTTCGGGGTAGAGCTGAGTGCCGCGGCTGTTACGGCTCGTACCATACCACGTGAATAATAACCGTTGAAAACGTGAAACACGTGATGGACACAATTATTGATAATCGCCCTATCATAATCAATTATTCATATATGTACCTAGCAATAGCTGTGAAATGCTGCCACAACAGGTGAGAAATTATAAATATTAAACTATTATAATGTCTATATGCGCATATTTGTTCCTCCTCAACTTTGGGGGTGGTGCCATTCCGTACCCCAATTTCCTACAAGTATTTTAAATTGCAAATGCATTTTACATACTTAATTTTAGGTCACATTCTTCCCTTTTTCCACTCGCCAAATTGAATTGTAAGGTCTCTATTAAGATCCGAAAAGAACGTTTAACGGTTGCATAAGAAAAAAAACAGAAATTGGTTGGGAATAAATTTCTCATGTCTGTACTGAGTACAGAGTATCTTCTAGCCGGACACTCTCTCAAGCACTTCACTTTCTTTTTCATCTTTCTACTTTCCTCTTTTTTGTCTGATTTTCAATTAATGCACTGCTTGCCTATAAATACAACACTGTGCGTTCCCCTCCATCTTCCAGCTGAAAGTTTTTATTCCTACGCAGGGGTCACCCAATTTTTTGAACTTCCTACTTTCCATTCAAGTCACGTATTCCAGTGGAACACGTATTTCAGCATATATCTCTGTTGGTTTCCAGCTCAGCTAACGCTTAACTTTCTATTGTTTTTTCATTTTTCTGCTAGGCGGCAACGCCAAGGAAACAAGTGGACAAGCCAAATTCGGACAGTTACAGCTATTGCGTGGTGCTGCCAGATGTGCTAAGTGGCAACACTGAAAACATTTAAGCTGCTTGTTAATTTTAGCAGGCAGAGAAGCAGGTTAACAAGAGGATAAAGTCAATGGAGTATAAATAAATGCAATTATTGAGGTACTTACTGACGCCGTAGAAGCCGGCATAGAAGATCATGATGGAGCCGCGATAACCGATGACCTTGGCGACAGGATCCACCAGAATGGGCAAGTTGCCGCCAATGTTGTTCATGACAAAGAGAAAGACGCCAATCGTCGAGGAGCGAACGCGCAGCGGCACAATCTCAACGACAATGGCAAACACGATGCCGAACCACATTTCGGCAAAAAAGTAGCTCAGACCGAGCGTTATCATTGCCCACAAGGGCTCAAAGTAGACGGAACCAAAAGCAGGCAGTGTGGCAATCAATTGGCTAATGGCCAAAACAAAGGCACGCGAACGGATGCCCATTTTGGCGACAATCTTGTCGGAGACAATGCCGCCGACAACAACGCCGACGCTGCCAATGCCAATGGTGACGGCGAATAGCCACCAGCCGAGATCCACGTCCGGGAAATAGGTATTATAATAGAGGTCTGCATTGTAGGCAAAGGTCATGCCGCCGCTGTGACGTATGGATGCGGCTATCATTAGCATTATCATCGCCGGACTTTTGATGACCTGCCACAGAGTGACGGGTTTGCCGCTAGCCGAGGTGCGATCGCCCTCGCCAATCGATTTGCGTTCCGGTTCGCGCAGCGTGGTGCCCGTCAGTCCGGCCACAATGATCGTCAGGACACCGGCGCCCAAATAGCATACACGCCAGCCCATATCGAAGAAGTTGAGCTTGGTGATGTAGCGGCCGACGGGAAAGGCAATGCCATAGCCGCCATAGATGCCCCAGTTGAATATGGCCATGACCAGGGCGCGTTTGTTCTCCGGAAAGATGTCGGACATGATGCCCGTCGCAAGTGGATTACAACCCGATTCACCGGCAGCCATAACCATGCGCAGCAGCACCAAATGCCAGTACTCCTTGACGGTGCCCTGCAGCAGAATGGCAATGCCAAAGATGATGGTGCACACGGTCAGCATTTTGACCCGATTGTATTTATCGGCCGCAAAGCCCATAAAGACGCCCGCTATGGTGAAGACCAGTATGAACGTGGGCCCGGCCAATATCTGATAATCGATGCCCAGTCCATTGTAGTTCCATTCGCAGTAACCAGTGCCGTTCATGTCCAGCGCATAGCAGCTGGTCTCGTTCTTCACATCGCTGCACTGGGTGACCAGCTCGTGGCGCGTGAACAGGCTGCTGTTCTGCTGGCACGCATGATCGCCATAGTCCAGCTCAATGGCCGTCTGCTTGGATGTAACGCCTATCAGATAGTGGCCCAGTTCGCCCAGTATATAGCCAATGGTGAGTATGCCCAGCACATAGCTGCTGTAGAAGCCGCTCAGTTTCTCCAAGATCGGAATCATCCTTCGGCTGTCAGAGCTGTTCAACGAGATGGAATAGTTACAGGGGATTAGAACTCTGCACTGGTATTTCAATTGATTTGTCCCAAGAGCTCGTCTTCCAGCTACAAACTTGTGTAAGGATTTCTCTAGCTCTGGCAACCAATCAATATAAACAGATGGAATATAAAAGAGCTACAAGGTATTGGAACATAACTCTTTATTGGTATTCCACTCCGTAATCCCAAGGACTATATTTGTCTTGGTAGAGTTTCAAAAGATAATTTGAACTGTGGATATGTTTAAGGTCTTCCTATCCATCTACAAGCTATGGCAAGGATTCCTCTAGCTCTAGAACCCAAATAAGCATAAATAGTTTGAAGACAGGAAAGGGAACTATGACCTCTATATTGGTATTCCGCTCGGTAATCCTCAGAACCTCATCTACAAAATATTGTTAGAATTCGCCTTATGCTACCCTAATAAATTGAAGATAAGGGAGTATAGTCTTTGGGTGGAGACCTAACATGGAATACTATCCGGTAATGTCATTATTATTAACTACAATTTTAGTTTTTTTAAAGGTTGGCATTTGCATTTTTGAGTATGCCTTTTATGCTACACTAGGAAGAACTAATACTCAATGATTATAGACTGAAACTTAAGGAGTTACACAGAAAATGTAGAGCTCCGCAATGCTATTCAAAACGGTAATCCTTAGACCTTAATACAACATATTGTGCCAGGATCTAGGATACATAAAGGATCTACGATACATAAAGACTGAGGACCCAAAAATCCACCTTAAGAGAGCCTCAAGTAAACATGGACCTATTTGAAGCTAATAATTTGCCTACTTAATTGGGGCAATTCTAATGTATTCTCATCTATGGAAGATGTTTCGAATAAAATCTACCAATATATTTCTTACCCTATACTCAAGATCTAATAGACTTAATGAGACTCGGAAAAGGTATACGACTAAGTAACTAAAATGCACCTATTTTTATCAAGGAATTCTTGGAATCAATTCTTCTCTATAGAGGAACTGATAAGCAGTCCAATCGAGTGCTCTGCAATTGGTATGCATCTCAGTAGCTGGAACAGAGAACAGAGAACAGATGAAAGGCAAACATGTGAACTGATGATAGACAAGTGGCATAAATTAAACTGTCTATCTGGGCATTTTGTAATCAGGCAGCGACAAGCGTGCCGAACAATTATAATTAAAGGTAAATAATCATCGGAGCTTGCCTTTTAATCAGCCTTGTCACCGGCGACTGACGATAACTGCAGCCACAATGTTGAGAACAAATTAATTGATCCCAAAAGTTCTGGAGATCGTGACTTGACTTAATTCAAGCATGCGATTGAAGTGAAAGTGAAGCTGAGAAGAACGTGTTGTGTGTCCTCAACAATATACCCTACACCAGCGAGCCATATAAGCTGAGTCGTCGCATTCGTTAAAGCTTTCAAGCAAGCTTTTAGGCTGAGTTTTAATACAGCAAAAATAAAGCTTGCACACGAAATTATTGCAGCTTGTTGGCTTCGGAGCTTTTGACAAAGCTTTCGAAGCTTTGCTCGAGTTCAAAAACAGCTGCAAGTCAGGCGCGGACTATGGATTTATCGGGGCCCAAGGGTTTGAAGAATCTTCCACTAGGTTGAAGTGGGAAGCCCTTGAGAAGGTTATAATAATTACTTAAAGCTTTAGAATGTTCGAAAGCCCGTAAAAAGTAACTTGATATTCAATTTTATTAAAGCAAACAAGTTACTTGGGCAGCTGTGAAATAGTTTGCGTGTTCGGAATCCGAGCTAAGACTGGTTATCAAGTCAACTATACTAGATTAATTATATGTAACTTCAAACTTGTTCTAACAATAAAATTTGAATAATCATAGCCCAAAATCATCTCATGATTGTTAACTCTATTAAAATTGAACGCTGTTCGAACTCGACTCAAAGTTCGGTACGTAAACCCAATTCCCAAAACCCGCGTCCATGGTTGAGGGGTTTGCTTCCAAGCTCGGTTTACCATTTTGCATTACTCTAAACTTGAAATTGGGCGAAGAGTGCGAAGCCAGATTTTAGCTTATAGGTATACATATATATTATATATTCTTGATCAGGTCAATGTCTGAATTAAGGAAAACTCAATTGTTGAGCCTTGCACACTGCCAGTTCGTTTTTAAGCCATGCTAATTTTATGGAGATCGGACTCTAAGCACCGAGGTTAATTAAGCATGCATTTCACATGCATAGCATGGGGAGAGGCGAAGAAGAAGCAGCAGAGCTGCATCAAAAAGTTTATAAGGTAAGCATATATTCTCCTATAAATTCATTTTCGATTCGATCGAACCCCGAATGGAGTTCCCTTTAGGAAGAGCAAAGCGATTTTGCAATGGCACCTGTAGAGCTCTGGTTTTGAATAGAGTCTATAGAGCACTAGAGAAGTCTATATATAGATTTGTGAAATAATTAGATTTGTGAAAGGCATCTGAAACATTCTTGATGGTCGTTACTTCAAGGCATTTATCGGGCGTAGTCGTAACGCGACGTTTTTATGATTTATGAGTTGTATTGTGAGCGAAACGGAAGTTTTTTTTAATCTCTAGACAAAAGCAAATGCGAACGCTGTTGTCTGCTCGACTAGCCGATACCCTGCAGGCAATTATACTCAACTCTAACTCCAGTATAGAGTTGTATTAAGAGTTGCTCGACTTTTGGATTGTTTAAATATGTTTTTCACTCTCTTTTCTTGATGTCAATTTTGAGAAGAGCGACAAAAAGGTAATACAGGGTATTGCAAGCGCTTATAATATTCTATTTCTAGCTCTGACGCTCTCTGAGCTCCTTGTTTAGTTTCTTTGCCTGGCCTAACATGCCCCTTGCCTGTCTTTACAGGGTAGTCAAATTTAATGTGCGCATATTTTGAAGTTCAATGTCAAGACGCAGTCCATCAATAAAACAAACGCCCCTTCAACTTCTTGTCTACAAAACCTGCCTAAATCAATTGTTTTTTTTCGCTTCTCTCTTTTTGGCTCAAATGCCATTAAGCCAACTCTAAACAGACACACACCACACGAACAGAACAAATTCGCGTTGTTCCCACAAAGCAGAAGAATAAAAAGCACTCAGCTGTAGACGAAGAGTATTAACAATTAATTTTTAGCTCTTTTTAATACCCCGAATTCGGTTTAATTGTTTAAAGGGGCATATTTTTGTTTTTAGCTTATCTTTTCTTTCGATTTCTGCACACATTTTCATTATGGATTTTGCGAATTCATCTGTCTTCGATAAATCCATTCACCTTCCGTGTATCGATAAATATCGATTTGGCGAGCTCAACTCTCTTTCTATAACTCCATTCACTTTATGTCGATAAGTATCGATTGTACGAACTTCTATATATGTTCCAAAATCTCCACAAATTTTTGTAATATTTATAATTATCGAATTTGAGAGCTCATATAGTTTACAATATATCCGTCCATTTTCTTAATAGCGATAAATATCGATTTTTGAGGTTCTTTATTTTCGATATATCGATTTGAATAAGCATTGATTTGGCGTTTGTGTGGGCAAACATGAAATGAAGTTGAACTATAAATGACAGGGGCTTATAGGGTATTTCCAAGTCGTGTTTTCCCGACAGGAGCACACTTGCATATTTTTTGTAGTTTTTTTTCCGATTGTTTTCTGTCTTCAATCAATCAAGTTTCTGGCTAATTTGCTTGGCATGTTTTCAGTGTTTGGCACCAGCTAACACCTCTCAGATACCAACACTTGTAGCCGTATCTAGGCATAACCAAATAAAGAGAATAAAACAGAGAAGTATCTTTTACATTAAGTAGCCAAGGTCAGCAAAGGGTACAGAACGCAGCCATGGCCAAAGGCTAAGTCACAGTTGGCCAAGTATCCAAGCGATTATTGGCAATGTATCTATGCCGCTTTGTATCTGTCGGATATGCGTCAAGAATGCGGATGCTGGCAATTGAAACCAGTTAAAGAACTAAGCGACAATAAAGCTCTGTAAAAAGCGTCGAAACGTTTCAATTTTCAAGTCGTTAAATGCTTAAAATTAGTCAGCAATTGCCTCGCGTCACAGATCCCAGCTGCAAGGCTTCTGATAGACAAGCATTTTAATCTGTCAAAATACGACCCATAAATGGTAAGTGGTACGAGTACGAATTGCCTCTGTTGTAAGCCCAGACATTGGCATTTTGTTTCCTCAATAGGTTTTACCCAACCCGAACATAACTGGATGTCGAATACCCGTTCCACTTGGCTCATGAATACGCAAAAAGCGCTCTCATCTCAATTTGGGCCAAGCGCTCGCTGCGAGTCACATGATCCGCGGCAAAGAGTCGTTGCTCTTCACAAACGACGCTTAGATACTCTCACTAAATGTGGTCGATAGCTATGCTTGTTATTATTTTAACAGCGCTTGTTAAAACACATATCAAAGATAATTTAAAGCTGTCAATAAAATACATGTCAGTTCGCTTAAAACGAAGACCACACCACAATCCTACACTATTTTGGGGGGTTTGAACTGGCATTCTTTCTTTTCTTCATGTGTGGAAAAATCGCGAAAAACATTTGTACGAAACCAAGCTTCCTCGTAGAAATGCGACTCAAAGATTTTGTGGATAAAGTTTTAAGTTTGCATATATGATTGTTTGTCCATAACATACATGCATGCATGCATGCTTTGTATATATATAACATACATGCATGCTTTGTATATATGCAAACATGCATGCATGCATATATATAACATACATGTATGTATGCATGCATGCTTTGTATATATGCAAACATGCATGCATGCATGTACATATGTTATACATATACAAAGCATGCATGCATGCATGTATGTTTTGTATATATGCAAACATTCCTTGTCAACTAGCATGAAGATTAACAGGAAGATGTAATCCGCTATAAAAAGATTTTAGAACCTTATGTTAAATGTGCTGTCAGTTAAAGATTAAAGTGTTATAGAACCGCTTGTCAAGTAACATGAACTTTGACTTATGCGTCCGCTATTAAGAGATTTTCGAAGGTTGTTGCTTTGCTTGCTTTCTCATTTCAAGATTGAGTTTAAGAACTTAATTTCTCGTAACATCAACTTTGACAGGCAATCGAGCAAGCGTGCATTACTTGTACACTAACATGAGCTTTAACAGGAAGATGTAATTTGTCTGCTATGAAAAGGTTTTTGGTAGGTTGTGCTGAATGTTATCCCAGTTTGAGATTAAAAATAGTTAAGAACTTTTTGTCTCGTAACATCACTTAAAGCAGCTTAACTTTAAATATTGACAGACAGAGCGTACGGCAAAGTAAAGCTACCCCGATAAAATGAAAGGAATCGGATTGCGTGTGGGATTACGAGCTGCGTGCTTATCTAGTTTTCAATGTCAAGGCGCGAAACGGTACGCACCTAAGCCAAGCAGAGTAAACCAGACCAGACATTACGAGAACGGCTGCGTGACTTGCCGCATTGCCAATTCGCCGCGTCGCCCCACTCGCCGCAGTCGCTTGCCATTGACGCGCGGCGAACAGCAAATTTGTGTGACGCTTTCTTTGCCAAGGTCAGCTAAACATAACGTGTGCAGTTATGCATGCGCCGGGCAGGGGAAAAGGCAGCTATGGTTGCTTTTGAAATGCATTGAGGCGTTAAATTTTTTGAAGCGATTCCCAAACCGAAAACGCTTACTTAATATCTTCTGCTTCTACAATTTATGCTTGACTCGGGCGAACAATCGACATGGAATTGTGTGTTAAGTGCAGCTCAGCCCCATTTTAATATTCCATTTGTCATCTAATTTGCATTTAATTAGCGGCAAGCGCAATTACCAATGCAATATTTTAATGGTTTCTATTTTAGTTTTTTATATGAGTTTTTTTTTTTTTTTTTTTTATATTTACTATGCA